TATGTCTACTTGTGCATTAATGGATAGGTTGGTTTCTTACTGTTCATGATGCATTTAAACTAATTGCTCTCTATGTTTAAAAGAGAACCGTCTATTACACTGTTGTCTCCGAATCTTGATAACCCTTAGACCTATTGCATGTCAACATAAGGAACACCTTCACTGGTCATTCTAAAACCACAGGCAAATAGCCAACTCATGATTTTTTAAACCATGTAACACGAGCTTCAAACGAGGAAAGAAAGGGTGTATCGCTATGGGTATTCCAGACTTGGTTTACAAACTTTTAAAACCAAAGATACCCGAGTAACATGAAATCAGAATAGGAACCTAAACATGACCTAAATAACCAAGTAAATTTGAACATTCATTGGTTACTTTATCGACATAGAGCATGCATACAAAAGAAGTCCAGAAATTAGAAGAAAACCATATTAACGGACATTGTCTAGGCAAACGAATGTTCCACTCATTACAAATGCATTTTTCGGGCACCCAAAACTTCAGAAGTTGGTCCACTGTAACATCCAACAGATATGTATTATGACCACGTATAGATTGATCATAAACCATCCAGATGCAAACATTCACGCCATCGAAAAACCAAAACAATATAGACAGCCTTCACCGGATCATGCTTACATTGATCAACAAAACAGAAACGATCAATAGCAGTTTTAGTGTTCGGAGTTTTACCGAGTGGCCCAGATTGGAGTTCCCGAGTAAGTTGGCTCTGTCACCTTATCGGTTCTTTCTTCTCTCACAATTTCCTTCCTGCATCTACCAAAAGCTTCCCTGACATCTCCTCCCCTTCCTTCAAGGCTTCTCAACCTTCTTTCTGTAATCGACTTTTGTTCGGACTTTCCCTTTCTTGCAATGACTCCTGCCCTAGGAACAGGTCCTACCACGCTGGCCTATTCGCTCGTATGCATTTTCGTCGCCATACGCGCCTGCCTAGTTGTGTTCGCTCGGTAGTCCTGCTCCCTTCGTTTTTCTTTCTTGCTTTTCCTTTTCTCTTGTTCCTCTCTCTCTCTCTCTCTCTCTCGCCTGCTCTACACCTTCTCTCTGAACCCTACTTCACACTTTTTCTAACCGCGCCGATAGCCTCAGCCGACTGTCTCACCGGATTCAACCCTAAAAACCTGCACTTATTTTCCCTGGCAACTAAAGAGCTGACGAAACCAGCACTCCCCAACGCTGTTCGCTGCTAGGTGGGCCGGGTGATAGCCTTAATTCCCATGGCCTGAGCGGGTCGGGTTTCCTTCATTAAAATATGGTTATGTGGGCTTCTTCATTGGGCCTAATGCCTTAGAAAATTTTAATCATGACGTTAACAAATATTTCATCCAAATAGTTTGATAGTTCTAATTTTAGTATTTTAATTATATTTTTTGTTTCAGTGTAATTTTAATTAAATAATTAATAAAGTTTTTAATAAAATAAAATTAAAATTAATTAAATATTCTACTAATTATTATATTAAAAATTTGTCTGTGTGATGAACTGTAATTAAAACTACAGAGTTAAAAGAGAAATGCGTGGTACTCGCAATACTACTAACTGAAAATTTACTGAAATTGAAATTTTCCAATTAAATTTTAATATTTATTTAATTAAAAATTCTATTAAAATTAATATTTTCATATTGAAAATTATATTAGTAACAATTTAAGTGAAAATTCATTCATGTTTTATGATTACAGTAAGTAAAAGTTCCACAAAAATTAAAATTATTTAATTAAAAATTGTACTAACTATAACTGTTTAGTTAAAATTTTATTTAAAATAAAACTCATTGTGTCCATTCTATTCAAGCTAAATTTTTCTAATAAAAAATTCCAAAGTAATTAAGATGGTATAGTTAAAAAAACATACATGTCAAGATTTTATTAACTGAAAGTAAACTCCATATAATTGCAAGAAAAGTGATAATTAAATGAAAATGAAAATAATTTAATACTTAAATCGCAGATCATATGAATATTAAAATGATCTGCTAAATAATTTCGAGAAATAAAAACCCCCAACAAAATTTGTTATGAAAGAATTAATTTTGAAATTTAAAAATATTTTTAAATTTCCAAATTAACAAAATTCCTAATGCTGCAAGGCTCTCCACCCTCTCGCCTGTATGTATAAACTTAATTATCTCTCTCTCTTTCTCACTAATTACTTGTCTGTAAAGTTAACGTTTTCCATGTATCTGTTGACCCTAAAACCTGTGAAGAACAGCAAACGATCAGTCCACTCCATCAACAGCAACAATGCAAGAAAGTCAATAGGAAACGAACCATCAAGGTTAAAGCTGAACAACGTGGTACATTGTGTGATGTACCTGTTTGTTTAATCGGTTATGGTCCGGACGGCGAGCTGATTACATGGCCGGAAAACAGACCGGAAGTGAAAGAGTTGGTACCTAAATATAAGAAGAGTACTAGCAATAGTGAGAAACGCAATGAGTATGATCTTGAATCTTTCTTGAAGACGAAGAAGAAAACTCTTGGACAAGACAATGGCAGAATTGCCGGAGACAGGTGGCCTACTTCGGACAAGAGGCTTGATGGATTGGGGAATTTTGATTTGGTGGATTTAATGGTTCAGTTGGATTCTAAACTGCAGAGTTTGACACAAAGAAGAGATCACTTGATTAAAAGTACTGCTGTTCCATTGAATTTTATGTTCGCAAAACCAGATAGAGAGTGAAATTGAAAGTTGCCAGAGATGGAAGTTTCTCAATTATTGTTGATGATGCTTCATCAAAATTTGCTATTTTCTCTGTCCGTCTCTGTTGTGGTAGACCGCAATGGTCTAAATCTTGTGTCTCTTTTTTAAATGCTTACTTAGTGTTCAGTTTCCTGTTCTTTTTTTTTTTTTCAGTTTAAGTGTAGTGTTTAGTTAGTGGTTGTATAGTACACCTACGTAATATTGGGATATACAGAGTTTTGTACAAGGTAGACATTTTATAGAAAACCGATGTGAATAATAGTAAGAATTGATTGATTTCACCAGAAATTTTATATTTTTTAGAAAGAAAAAACAAAAAACAAAAACAAAGATAACCGATTCCCCTTAAAATAATGGGTAAAGATAACACCTGACTTTTAGAGTGTCTTTCATCACCCTTTTAAAAAAAATGTTGGAAAAGAATTACAGATAAATGGTGTTGTCGTTCAACCTCTTAAAAAGATGTTTAAAAAATTAGAGATAAATCATAAGATTGCTTAAACTTTATTAAACTTTTCAAGACCCCCTACCCAAAAAATTTGAATTCGTAATTATAATTTTTTATAAGAAAAAAAAAACATTTTATAGATCCAATAACACCTGATATTCAACTCATAACGAGTAGCCTAAAAGCCACGAGCAATAATCTTACACAAGAAAATGCTCAAAACAAGCCGGCATTGCCAGTACAATGTGAGAATGATAAACCTCCAGAAATAAAGGGCAGGTCTAGAGATTTATACAACTCTATTAAATTAAAGAAATTACTAACATCAACCAAAAAGACCCCAGATCCTAACTACAATATACAAATGCAAAATTGATTAAAGAACACAAAGGATAAGACATTGTCAAAGCTGCCTCCACATCTTAAGAATTGTTCCCTCTACCACTTTGTACACTGTCTAAAAATGCCAAGAGATGCACCTTCGCTCTTCCATATACAAGAACAGCATCTTAACAGCAAGAACTTATATCCCTTGTCTGTATGCTCAGTTTCTACAATGGTTCAAGTGTCCCGCTTTTAAGTCTCTCCATCCTGGCCTGAAGGCCAGACAAAGCCTTCTCATCCATAGGAAGGACTGCACTCTGTGAATTCTCTACACCAGCGCGGTCTGAAGTCCAGGATTGACTCGAGAGCCCATGCATAGAGTTATCATTCATTGACATCAATGGCCTGCTTCCAGAATCAAGGTTTCCACCAGCTGCTGCTAGTTGCATGCTTTTCATTCTTTCTCTAATTGCATCTAGTGTGCCACTAGTAACTACAATCCGAAAGTTATATCAGCAGTTTGGTCTTTCAATGCATACAGATCTTTTTTGAGGAAAAGGATATATTGTATAGCAAACTGCAGCAAATGTACATATAAGAAAAGGAAAATAATGCATATACAAAAAAAATGACCATGATGCATAAGACTATATTAATGAGGCCTATGAGACTCACACGCAGGATGACCCTGGAAAATGAGCACACAGGGTTTAAAACCAGGAATCCAAAACAAGCAAAGGGGAGAACTAAGGCTCTTCTATTCATTTCCTTTCAGAAAACGAAAAAACTGCCAGCACAAATGGGGACATGAGCTTCTAGGATTCCGTCATGCAGATAAAACCCCCGCACAGCTAATCTCTGGCTGAACCACAAACCACCCAGCTAATAATGAAATTTAGGGGAAAATCCCATAGCATTCCAGTTTTGGGACATGAAGCAAAATGGCTAGGGATTAATTCTCATTCTGACACAACAAAAGAATCTTTTAACCATGGCTCTATAACTAATTAAATAATCAAGGATTTCTGGCCCAAGCCACCATCCAGGCAAAATGATCCAAAATGTTTACAGATCTCTAGATTCTTTTAGAGAAAATAATCCAGAAAATTGTCAGGTGCTTGAAGGTGAGGTAGTCGTATTTCATTGGAAAGCATACCAGCAAGTTTCCATGCAGAAAGATCAGTCCAAGCAAGATGTGCTGCTAGTTTCCTACGTGTGCCATCAAATAAACCATTTGATTCACCTCCTAATAGTTGAGATTCTAGAAAAGGAACATTCTACTGAATTCCACCACTGTAATAGTCGTCAGTCCTGGTCCCTTTAATGTTACAACGCTGAATGTGGAAATGAACCTGAATTTTGTTGGCATTCATCTCCACACAAGCAATCTTCCTAGGATCTAAGGCTATGATTACCCACAATGCATCAAGTTTAGCTCAACACTGTAGGTCCAATTTCCACCAGTACATTTCAAAGGGCAGGAGTCATAAATGTACTTTGATCCAAGCCAAATATCCTACCCCTCAGCAATTCCAAACTTTGCTATGCTTAATTCTCTACTACAAGCTATCGCTACATATCACAAATCCCTATTTCCATTTCAGCTAAGCATTTGCCGAAGCCCCATATAAATCTAATCTATAAGCCTGCAACTTCACACAACCCCCCCCCCCCCCCCCCCAACACCCCAACCCAAAAAAAGGTTCCTGATAATTTCCGGCCCACCAAATGATACGTCATCTTTTCTATTACCTTAAAAGAGCATCTCCCCGCCTGCACTGGGCAGATTCCAACCTTTCATCTCTCCCAGCAAGGATCTAAATAGTAAGATTTCAGTTAGGTCAGCTGCCAGCCTTAAAAAGAAACCATCTCCTCTAACTTACCCAGTCTTTTTTCCATCTTATCACAATGGGATCCCATGTTAAATTTTAGCTCCCGAAGACAAACCAAGAAATATGCAGGAAAAAAATACCAACTTGCAACCTAAGATCTTAGCAATCTCAACAACCGCCATAACGGCAGCAAATGCAAAAATTTCACAGTTCTCAGGCTTCTAAAAAAGCATATTTATCTGGTGCTTTCATACTGGTTTCTGCTTCCTGGAACTTACTGAGAAATTATTTTAGCAAATATACATTGGTGTTATTTATCCCTTTTCGTTCTTATCAGAGAAAACAAAAAAAACCTGGAGTAACCAGCAAAATTCATGGTGTCCTTTATGAATCTCCCAATAAAAATGAAAGGCCATACCATATCAGCATATACACATTGTACATATAGTTCCTCAGCCTTGACCACCATGCAGCTGAACGCTGCCATGGCATACATAAATAGAAAGGGAGGGAGTGATCACCTTAGTCTCAGCCCCCACAGAGCTTAAAAAAGTTGGAAGGCCAAGTGTCCATAGATCTCAGCAAGGTGCACCATTTTATCCGACCACACTATCTATGCCCAAA